CTGGAAATCAGTCTCATGTGCTGTACCTCACAAGTGCAGCAAAATTTGTCAGGATGACGCTGATGGAGGTAGGCAATTTTTGCACGGACCACACAGATGTCTGCGTGGATCCCATAAACCAAACATATAAAAGCTAAATTCTGTCTTCCATGGGGTCGGGGTATGAATAAATACTTGCAATTATTAAATAATAACATTTCGATCGCAAACTGTGAAGTCATGTTAATATTTCAATATATAGACATTATTAATATCTAATCATTTTTAATACATACCCGCAACAGGTTTACGCGGGGTGGAACGTTACAATAACATTTCTGGAAGTGGTAAGAGAAAATGAGATAAAAAGAGACGATTAAGAAAGAAGAAATGTTATCTTAGGTTCGATCCCATTTAATTCTGTATTATTGGACCGAAGAAAGTAAAATCTCTCAGCCTTAATATGGAGCATTTTTCGCAGTTTCTCAGAATTCTTCCAGTAAATATTTGGTTATTTGTTCAGTGTGGAATTTTGATTTGTCGTAATGAATCATGTTCTCTTTGATAAAGATGGTCGTGTTTTGTCTTAAGCTGCATTTAAATGCCGAGTATTTGATTATCATTTAACAGTTCGTAATAAACAATTCCCTGCACATCCCACCAAAAATTCAAACGAGTTTTTCTTGGATGCAGTCCAGCACTTGTATTTTGAGCAGGTCTTTCACTACAATTAAGCCAGCGACTCCCCGTGTAACATTGTGGTAAAGCACCTGATTCTCATCCTCAGTGATGACTCCGTCCAAAAAAGAAAAAAAAAAGAATTTGCAGCTGATGCGAATGCAACGATGCACAGTAATCATCTACTGAAAACTAAAGATGGAACTCGCTTTCCAAACTTTGACACTTTCTCATTTAGTGATAGAACGAAATATGGCTACCATTGAAATGATCCACTAACTGTAATGGTTTGGTTAGCACCAATAGCTGCTTCTAGTACGTCAGAATCAAGTCTTTTTTGGGCAGCCTTCTCTTGGCTCTTAAGATAAAATCTTCTAAAACGGGAAAAAAACATCTCCTTACATCAGTGGTTCCTAAACTTTTTTTCCTGACTGCATTTTCGGAATTAAAATTTGCTAGTTCCTCACCAAAGGGAAGTCTCGGTGAAAAGGCGCAATTACTCCTACGGCTAAAAAGGTCCACGGAGTGGGTTAAAGGGAGATAAACTTGGAAAATTATAATTGATAACTCTCTCCTCCAATTTGCAGACGCTAGTTACTATATTCTTAATACTTGATATAATGCAAAAATATCATAATAGAAAATTGGTCAATAATTATTTATAACTGTTTATACTGGGATTCATGCATGCAATTACAAGTAATCCATAATATTATTTAAAATTTTGAAATCATATCTGTTTTTGGCATATGAATTTTTTGAAGCTGTTTCTAAAACTTTGATTATCTTTCAATCATTTCGCCTCACCTGCTATCCTCTTCCGCCTCACCTGCTATCCTCTTCCGCCTCACCTGCTATCCTATTCCACCGCATCTGCTATCCTCTTCCGCCTCACTTGCTATCCTCTTCCACCGCACCTGCTATCCTCTTCCGCCTCACCTGCTATCCTCTTCCGCCTCACCTGTTATCCTATTCCACCGCACCTGCTATCCTCTTCCGCCTCACCTGCTATCCTCTTCCACCGCACCTATGAAGCGCGTCGCATCGTTTGGGAACCACTGTCTTACATGGTTCTTTTTTACACATTACACCATCACCATGTGTGCTTTTTATGGATTTGTCTGCGAATGTAATGTAGTGGCAAAATTCATAAAGCAAAACATGATGGACATGTTCTTTACTTGAAGCTAACCTCGGATCGATCTGAATTCTTTTCTTCGAACAATGTTCCCAGATTTTTAAAGAAAATTAAGTATATTAGTCATCTAGACACTGGCAAACGTTAGTTAAAATTGGACTTCATTAAATCTTGCGCAAAATATTCCGTCAAAAAAGACTTTCGCTACCAAATGATATTTTAATATTTATTATTCAGACATTTATGCTTTCCTAGGGTCATCAGACTTTCCCGTTAAGCAACGGGTCACAGCCTCAACAGGCAAGGGAGGAGCCCCCAACCCATGCCAATACCCAACTAGTTTTGATTGAAACTGCTAAAGCCAACCACGCCTAGAGATCCAAGTTTACTCTTCTATTTAACCCATAGCCTCGTTAGTGGAGATAGATTCATAACTTTTCTAAGTGTACTTGCCTGAAAGTGAACTGGGCGAACTCGACCAGGATTTGAACACGGCACGCACATTTCCGCCACTTTCAGCACTGATAATTGCTACTTGACAGAAAATCGATTTTTTTATTTAATGGAAAATTGATTTCGAAGGATATGTGAAATGCCCAACAAAACTCAAGAAACGCTGGGTGATTTGAGATATAAAGCGATCGATAAAGCTATTCCCTCCATTTTTTTTTATAACACATTTACTGTTCCCAAATGTACCGATTAAATGCAGTTAATGAAAAACGTTCAGAATCAGCAAATCGAAAGGATGTCGTTTTCCATCAGCCAAACGTTACGTCTTTATACAGATCCGGTAGAATTTAGTACAGCTCGTTTGGGATCTTCTACCCTATCTGTCATATTCAGCTAAATTTTTAGTACTTATTTCGATCTCTACAAAATTTTCTTAATGGGAAGGACTTCAATTCTCACGAAGCCTGTAAAAAACACTTTGACCAGTAAATCACCCAAAAGAAATACCGACTTCAAGGCATCATGATCCTCCCTCAAAGATAGCGAAAGATAATGGAACAGAATTGCATATATGTGGTTGAATAAATCTATGGAGAAATATCTAAATATTGTCTACGATACAATAGTTTGATATAGAAAAATAGAAGTCGTTTTCAAGGAGACATTCCATATCCAGAACACCGTCTTTGCAAGCCAACCTGAGCATTCCACATGTATTTTTTTTTAAATAATATAATAATAAACTTGAAATATTGGAACATGGCGAATTAAAGCTACGTCTTAAAAATTTCGACCACATATTCGCGTTATGTTCTTAAAGCACAAAGATGTAGCATAAAATTTACGAAACTCCTGCAAGTTAAATGACGACAGTTTCTAGGCCTGTATGTTAAACAATCCACTGCTTGCTTTTGTAATTAAAATGAAACACAACATGATTTTATCGCTAACATATGCATGGGAGAGACGCAGCTGACGATAATTTCCTTTTCAGATGATCATAAACATAAGTAAAGTTTATTGGTCACCCACGTCGCATAATTTGACACATGGTCGTTGTTTTTCGTTTTTTTTCTTTCTTTCTTAATCATATCAACCTCAAGAAAGGCAATAAAAGCCATTAGGTGCAAGATATTATTGAGAATGAAAGTAACAGAGAAGACAATAACTGAACAGAATTTCTTTTTGTGTGTGTGTGTGTGTGTGTGTGTGTGTGTGTGTGTAGAGTGGGGAACGTATACCGACCCGCGGTATGGCACACGTCCCGTCGTATTTTATGATGGAACAGTTAGAAATTACCCATTTCTCTCAGCCAATGCTGCAAATAGCAAGGCATACCAGCAAGATCCTATTTCTCCTCGTTCAATGGAAAGTTAGTATATGGAAGATGGAATCTCGGTCACAAGGCTTCAATTAATTTTTGGCTTCGAGCCAAAAACGAATGCAAGCTTGCTGTCATCGATGATTTTAATTTATAGTAAAGATGAAAACACTTTCAAGATTTGATATTTGGGCATTAATATTATAAGTTTTATTAAAATTGTTGCCAGATCTGGTTTTGTGCTCTTGTTATAAATGTCAAGATCTTTAACAAAACCTAAAGAAAGAACTGCAATGTTATTCGTTCTGACCTGACATTTCCACTATCCGTCCACCGTGACGTGGCTTCCTTCTGTCTTTTCTATAAATATTTCCATGGCATTAGCTTTCTTCCTTTCTACCTCATCTGCATAAATTTAAGCGTATTACTAGATTAGCAATTAGGTCTCACTGTTGAACTAGCTGGATATGGCCGTAAGTTCTATTCTAATAATTTATTTTCTCTTACTTCTCGCCTGTGGAATTCTTTTCCGGGTTTTTGCTTCCTTCAAAAATTTAAAAATTTGTGCCAATCATAACCTTCTGTTTTCCTGAATCTTTTTTTTCATTGTCTTTTCTCCTCACTATAGTTTTCTCATTCTCTTTTCACTCCCAGTAACCCCTTGCGTCTTAGTGGCTTTATCGCCTTGTTAGAGGTTAAATGATTAAAACATTGGAATAAGTGTTTTTGCACTCTATACATGAGCAATACAATGCACTGATTTAATCGAGCGCGTGCCTTTATCTTGGTTATCGTACTTGTCATAGCTTTTCGGCTGTTACACATTCCGGTTTTCTTCAGGAGCCTCTAGTTTTCGGTAACGGGTTTGGAATTTAATGCCGCCTCTACTCGTTTAACTGAATTAGATAATATGGATTTCACTATCTCACCAAAATTACTGAATTTAGATATATCAATTAAAGTGCATACAATGTTTATATCCACAATGCAAGAGAAGGTCAGAGAACACAGAGACCGAAAATATGAAATATAACAACCACGATAAAGACAACAGTTCAAGTGAATCAGTGTATGATCGATATAATTTCTAAATTTAGATGAAAGGCTGACACTATAACAGTAAGGATAAATTTCAATAAATTTGTGTATAATAATGATAATTCTTTATGTCATAAATTTAGAAATAATAGGTTTCATGTTTACTCACAAGTCTTTTAGTAATCACGTGATTCTTTTTCAGGTGTTGGTTTTGCCTTTACATTCGGCCCGAATATAGTTCTTGTTGGTCACTATTTCAAGAAATACCGCGGCTCTGCGAATGCTGCTGCTACTTGCGGTTCCAGTCTGGGTCAGTTTTGCTTGTCTCCGCTCTTCAGTTTCCTTATTTGGTATTATGGTGTCCGCGGAGCCCTGCTCATTCAAGCTGGTCTTATGTTGCATTGCCTTGTCTTTGCCTCTCTGCTCCGACCGACCGATTTCTTTCGAAAACGCGCCCTGAAAAAGACATTCTTGAACGCCGACTCTATATCAATGCGAAAAGACGACGAAGAAGCAATATTTTCATCCAACAACTCTATTATTATTTCCCCAGCAATTACAGTTTCAACAAGCAGCACTACAGATATTTCCCATAACAACAATACGGCGACTAATTCAACGAAGCATACACTGGGAGGAGAAGAGAATACCTGCAAACAATTTCCCCGCCAAATAAAGACATTGTTGTCGGAGTCGCCAAGAAGACGTGAGAGTTGTCAAAGCAGTCCAGAACTTTTGCCCATGCTAGAAGCCAAAGGAGTTGTCAGCATAAACTGTGATATGATAAATAAAAGTGGTATGGTCAATAAGTTAGAACCTGACATAATTCATTATCAAAACAAGCGGCCTTTAATAAGCGACTCGATGTTGGGTTTTGGCTCCATGGTTAGTCTTCAAGACATAAGTCGACGGAACAGTCAAATAAAGGCAATGCGTTACCTGCGGGAAAACTCGTTAATTGGCGCCTCTTTGCCTGAGTCACCTCCGGAAACTCAACCAAACAAAGGAACATGTCTCCGAAAATTTGCGAAAAAGATGTTCATGAAATTCGATCTTAACTTACTCAAGTACAAACTCTATTTGGTCTTTCTATTCGGTTACAACTTTGGCTGTTGCGGTTCAAGTACTATGCACGTCTATTTTCCTTCGCACGTACAAGATATGGGTCTCAGTCGTGAGAAAGGAATGTTCATCGTATCACTTTCTGGCTTGGCCGACTTGTCCGGACGAATCATTATGTCTATCATCGCTGATCGACTTTGTATGCAACGCAGTCACCTTGTATCTTTGATCCTTCTGCTTCATGGTGCTGCTTGTTGTTGTGTGCCGTTGATTACAACGTTTTACTGGTACGCTGCCTACAGCGTCTTGTATGGACTCAGTGGCGGCATTTTTTTCTCTTGCATCACAAGTGTTCTTACTGACTTCATCGGACTTCACAAATTGGCCAAAGGTCTTGGTATGGGATTCCTTTTCCATGGACTCTCAGCCTCATTTGCTTTTCCCGTCCATGGTAAGTAAAATCTGTACATTAATATATATATATATATATATATATATATATATATATATATATATATATATATATAGTTAACGTGGAAACGTTTTTACATCGTTGCAAACACGTATTTTGGTGGTGGGATATGTGACTTTGTAGCGATGTTACTGTAACGTTGCAATCACTTATTTTATTGACCCCCTCCCCCAAACTGACCGCTCTTTCCTAACTTCCTAACGTTGTTATGGCAAAATTGCCAAGTAATGTAGCTGAAAAATACTGCACTGGTTAATTATAACATCAGAATATTTTTTCTTAAGTTAGCAATATGCATAGAAAGTATAACGTCTCTTTTCGTATCCTTTACTATTTGTCTGTATTTCTGAGATGAGGTGTTGTAATTATTTACATTGTTCGGACTGTTGTCCTAATCTTTATTGTCATGTTCACAACATTTTGGCCGTTGTACGTTACGGCCTTCTTCAGATGATTGGAATTTCGGACTCAACCCTTTATTTCGTTATTACTTTATTTCGTGGGTAGATTGTTCTTGTTTCACGTGACATGCTTCTACCGGATGTCTCAGTTATTTCCCTTTAACCCAACGGTCGAAACGTTGGAATTTCAAAGTCAAAGATTCTGTTCGAAATTCCAACGTGTGCCACCTGAAGAAGGTCGGTGCGTACAACGGCCAAAACGTCGTGAATATGGCAATAAAGATGAGAACAACATTCCGAACGATATAAATACGATATATAATGTTTCAATGTCGACATTATAACGTTCTTGAATATTGTTATGGTACGATCCACCTAATTTACATAGTGGAGTACCGACCATATAAATATGGGTTGGTACCGGGAAGACGGGGGAAGAAGGAAGAAGAGATCGAATCGAGAGACTCTGCCCGACTGCGATTAAGTCAACCCATTCTACAGGGACAGTCTTCCCAAGAATATACCAAAACTAACTGTAAATATTGTGTACCTTTTCCTTGTTTCAATACATTTTGTTTACGTACATTTTGTGTTGTATTATTATTATTATTCCATGCTTATCCAACCTTCAACAAATATAGAAAAGGTTTGGAATTTTTTTTGGCTCAATGATTATTTTTACGTATAAAATAAAATCATATAATAATAAATAAAAATAAAATAAAATAAATCCATTAAAAGTAGATAAAACCAACCAAATAAAATCGGTCATTTTAAATATTCAGTTCAGTTATGTGCCATGCGTAATACACGCTTAGGCGATCATGTATCTTTTAATACATGACTGACGATGCAAATTTTTTCCAGCAGTAGGTTGCCATTTCTCTTTGCGGTAGACCAGTTTCCATCCAAGGCTATAGAACCTGGTCTGTCCTGCTATTTACTCATAGCTGGGGAA